GGGGGAAATAGATGCCTAGGAGACTGCACCATGGCGATCTCTGGTGGGAGGCCCGACGGTACCATGGGGATCGGCGTTGTGACTCACGTGTCCCGTGCCGTGGAGACCTTGCCGTCAGAAACCTGTGTCTTCTAACCAGGGACTGAGGCTGCGGTGCCGGGATCTGAGGTGGTGATGGGGATCAATGCCTGTGGTCCAGGGACCGGGGATGCTCTGCTGCTTTAGAGGGCGGTCCCATAACCAGCTTGCCCGTAAATGCCAGGGCCTTAGCCGGGTCCATCACCTGGCTTGGTGTCTGTGGTGCCGGCCGGCTTACTTGCTCTTTGGCTGCCAGGCCTGCTTTGGGCACAGATGACCCTGCTAGGGGTCAGAACCCTCTGCCGCTCCCAGGAGTCGGAGGTGGGTCCCTGGCTGGGCTAGGGGCTCCGACTGCAGCAGCAATTCCAGGGCGGGCACATGGCCTGACACTAGTTCTTTGCCCAAGGCCCCCATTTTCTGCGGTGCCAGCAGGCCCGTCGACTTTGACTGTTTCTTAGGCACTAGGGAGTGCAGTGCAGGGTGGATTGGTAGATTCTGGTGCTGGCGGTGCACTGCGCACCGATGCCAAATTGCCAGGCATGGAGTCCGATCGAGAGGGCTCTGAGGTAAGACAAAAAGCAGCCTCCACAAGGAGGGCCCTCAAGTGAATATCCCACTTCTTTTGAGTTTGAGGGTGAAAGTTTTTGCAGATCCTGCACTCATCCTTTCTGTGGGACTCCTCCAAACAGCTATCATGAGAGTTGCTAAAGGGCATCGGCTGGCTGCATGCTGAGCATGACTTAAAGCCCGGGGAAAGGGGCATGCCCTGCTCTGAGGCGAAGTCCCAGCTGGGACTCTAACTCCTAAACTACTAGTCTAACACTTAACTTAATGGTCTAAGTACCTATCAACTAAAAACAAAGAAGACAGAACAACGGACTCTAAGAACCGCTAATGTTCTTGTAATGCAAGACAAGACCAACCATCACGGTGGTAAGGAGGAACTGAGAGAACGTAGGGTTGGTGGCGCCTAATATACCAAGGGGCGCTCAAGGGGGTGCTATAAGCGACCCTACAGATACTGCTAAGGCAAAAACCTCCAATGACTGTGCACACACCTAGAATAGAACAGACATGAGCAAGCCCTCAAAGAAGAATACTTCTTCCTGTTTTTGCAGAAAATTAAGACAATGCAGTGCATCAAATGGAAAAAGGAAAATCTTTGTTTAAGGGCCTGACTCAAATCCCATTGAAATCACCAAGGATATATCTACACTGCTGCTGGGAGTGAGCCTCAGATGAGTCTGAGTGCCCGAGCTGCAGCCCGAAAGCAATGTCCACACTTTTATTTTTAGCGTGCCAGCTGGAGCCTCTCTAGTTCAAAACTGTCTACCTGGGACAGGAGGCTCACTCCCAGCTGCAGGGTAGACATACCCTAGAAAGACTCCTGTTGAGTCCTATGGGCTTTGCATCAGGCCGTCAATGATTACTCTGAAAGAAAGTCTGAGCATTAGGCAGATTCTATATACATTTTAAAAGACACTGCATGGCTGCAGATAACACACAGTTTTGTAAGCACCATTTGAACATTTTGCATCAGGAAAGCAAGAGGCTGATTAGTCCTCTGATGTCACTAGATTTGATCATACTTAATTCTTTTACAATGGACAAAAATTATTTCTAGTAAGTAGTCCTGTTCTGTGGATCACTTTCAAAGTTGCAGTTGAGCCTGTTCCCAAATCATCCAGTTATGCCCACATATTGCATATAATACACTGATCTGATATGCCAGCAGAATTTGCTTTGAATTTCCCTTCCTCCACTAATTTATGGGTTTCAGTTCAGTGGTTGCAATCTATCATACAATAGATATGGCACATTTAACAGTTTTTCAGAAGTAAATTATGGAAATCCTTTCCCAATACATATAATTGACCTAACAGATCTTGAAAAAATACTTTTGGTGCGTTTGCACTGCAGCATATAAACAGGTAATTAAAAAGCATATTTGAAACAAGATATACATGCTCTATACTGTGCAATAACTAAAATGTACTGTTAGATCACCTTGAAAATTCCCATTTAAAACAGATTATTTGTAATCCTCCCATGAAGTAAATCTTCTAAAATACTTAGATAGTTTAAAATTTACTCAATGGTATGTGTAAAAATCTGCCATTTTAACACTATCACCAACTAAACATCACTTTTTTTTTCATATCCAAACTATTTTTCAATTCTTCAGGTAAAAAAAACCCCAAGAACATTTTAAGTCACTAAACCTAATTTTTTTTTTTTAAAATACCTTTAGCAGCTTAAAAACAAAACCAGGTGAACCCATTATTTTGTCAAAGTTAAAATATATATATATATATATATATTCGGTCTCTCAGACTGGGACCTCTAATTCCAAGTTTCAGCCCAGAGCAACTTTTTATTGACAAAGTTATAAATCCCAGAGAAAAAGATTGATATTATAAGGGCTGACACAACCATAGATATCAAGGTTCTGGCAGCCAATGCTATAAAGAACAATCAATAACTCTGACAAAACTAAGTGTGTACCATACTTGAGATGCAAGTCTTTGTATAAATTTTAGGAAAGAAATGTCAGTTTAGCTTGTACTGCTGAAACACTAAACTTAGATGTTTGGCTTTTGCACTTAGATGCCACAATGATTAGAGCTGTATTTAAATTATTGTTTTCAATATACCAGGAAAGGTTTTTTCAGCCTTAAATCTAGCTCCTTGTTTTGTTTCCTATTCAATCATATACACCACTCTCCTATATGGATAGTAACTACAATCTGTGGACCAAATCCAGATAATTGATGAACAGTGCTTAAAACCAGTTGAAATTTCAGATACTCGACATCCGGACCCGTATTTGTATATGTAGCTGTATTCAATATATGATTTTTTTATTTTATTGCATTTTTGTGTAATATGAACCTGATCCAAAGTCCACTGAAGTCAATGGGAATCTTTTTCCATTAATTTCAATGATCTTTGGATTATGCTTTAAGTGCAGCAAAAAATAAAGGTTTTTTTTTTTAAAAAATCCATAACTTAAATTATGATTTGTGTCCCTGTATTCAGACTGTGCTTAACATCTTGACAGGATAGGCCAGTGTTCAGTAAGCAGAGAAGTGCTGACAACCCACAGGGACTGCAGACTTAGTGTTGGAGGGGGTCATGATCCTCCAGGCATGGATCTTATCAAAATGATATAGGAGCTGTCTTCTGGTACAAATATCCAGCCTCCTGGCATCAGATAGGATAGAACCATAAATAGTCTGGAGGGAGAGTGATGCCTGGAATGTTTACTGCATTCTAATGCCGTGACTGCAGGTTATTAAAAATTGAGTATTGGGCTGCAAGCACACACTTTATGCTACGGAGGTAAATTTCACAGATGCAATTTCACCTTCTAAGCAAAAAGATCATCTGCTTGGCTTCTGTAACAGCCACCTGGAGTTCAAGGAGAAAATACTGGCAAGAGCCAGAGTGTCAGATAGTAAAACATTAGTGCATGTTCCTGCATGCTCTCTAGATCTCAAATGAGTGTGTGTCCAATAGTGACACACAAGATGAAAGGTGGACTCTTAAAATTGGCTGGGGAAAATTCTTTTCCTGGCTGATACTACCTTATGGGCACAATTTATATTGTTAGAAATTTTTTCTCCCACAAATTAGATGAAAAAAAATGTGATTCAATAATCTATCATTCTAGCAATGGCAGATGATGCCAAAAAACAGTATCTGCTACCCACCAGGACTCTGGTGGGAAAGTTATAACCCCCCAGGATCCTGGTTTAGAAAGGTATTTTGAATCAACAGGATTTAATATTGTAAATCATGACTAAGATTAGCTCTTCTCTTTGGACTTAAAGGCCTTTCTTCCACAAAGGTGTAAATGCACAAAATGTTTTATTTATTATTATAATTTAATTTTTTTTCATTTAGCTTTGGACAATGGGAATGCCACATGCCAGATGACAGCCACATGCCAGCCTGGCATGAACTGAGTACCACTACTTCTCTCAGAACAGAGTGATAATCACCAAGGGGCCTTGAAAAGCTGTTATTAGAAACTGAGAAGATAAAAATGAGTTTGCAGCCACCCTGAGACAGCTTACTGCTGAAAATGACTATATAGCAGGCTTACAAGCAGCATACAGGGTCAGACTGTATCTAAACCATTCATACAATGAATTTCTGAACAGTAACATAACTTCATTTTACAAAACTCCCATTTGAAACAAGGCAATATGAATGCTCATATGACCAGTCTAAATGAAAGTCATTATTTTAGGGGTCTGATTTACTAGACCACTTGAGTACTGGACATGCTCAAAAGGCAAACATGCATTTAACACCCCTACATTTTAAAAATCAAGCCCCATAAGATTTAAAACTAAGAGAGAAGCTCTGGGGTCAGAACTCCTACTGATTCAGTGCACTCCCCTTCTCCCCGCACGTTTCCATTTAAAGTTTCCCCTGGTGGAAGCACTGCCTATCCTCCTCCCTTGGGAGGAAATTCCTGCTGGCCCAGCTGCTCCTGCAGGGTCAGGGTGATGGAAATTGTATTGGTGAGAACTAATATGGGTAGAGCTAGCCCTTTAGTTAAATTTAAGATATGCTGAATGCCCTTTTCAGCTTAACGCAAGCATTTAGCTGCTAGTCTATGCAGCATTGCAATAGATAAGGAAATTTCTGTACAATGATTTCCAGGTCCCAGAAGTGTAATAAATACATCAATTCATGATTGTTCACTAAGCCTTGAAATTAGGAATGTGATGTAGTGACATTGTCGTCCCAGGTAAAACAACCTGCCCATTTTTTAGAGAAACGTAGGTAGATGTGAGTAAATAACTTTTTGCAAGTCTTCTAATGTTAGAGAACAATGGCCATCCCTGTAACAACATACCCACTCCCCTAACATTTCTTCATGTGCCATGTTATGCTTCGAAAGCCTTTACCTTTATGTGCGAGGCATTGATGTAGCCTGTATTATTTTCTTTGGTTGGCACCAGCTCTACTCTGTTCTCCTCATAAGGAACGACTTCCCTGATGCGGTTGCGCTCAGCATTTTCAGGCAATGCTGCAGTGGTGAAGATCCCATCTGCCTTTTTCTTTGGAATTTGCTCATATTCGGTGAATACCATCCCCTCTTCCAACTTCCTCTTCAAGATTTTGCACTGTGATTTAACAGAAGGAAAGGAATACTCTCATCAATTAATTTTTCGAGACAGAATGGTTGCAAAAGTATCATAGGGCAGTATTTTATCTCAATACAGAACGAATCATCAAAAACTAGGATGTTCTCGTCTTTTTGCTTGGAGCTATACTGCTTACTATACACAGTTTTATGTGGTATGAGAATGCATAACTCTGTCTGATTCAATGTAGTTAAATCAGCAGAGAATTTTATATTTCTAGTACATTCTCTTTTTATAGTTATAGATTCTGGTGCTAGATAAAGCAAAAACCTTCTAGTTAACAATCCTGATTCCATAAATGGACTTATCTCAAGTATATTTTTGAAAAAATTCTCTTTAAAAATAGTCACTCTTTTCTCACAATTAATTTAGGTCCACATTTTCAAAACATGGTCTTAATCTGTACATTGCCATTTCTGTGCACATACAAAAAAAGACAGTTACCTTTTTCCGTAAGTGGTGTTCCTCGAGATGTGTTGCTCATGTCCATTCAACTTAGGTGACTCCCAGCAGTACCCCTGGAGGAGGGTAAGGAGTTCACGGACATGGAGCTTACAACACAGCTCTGCTGAACCCAGCATCATTCCTGGCCTGCTGCGTGATGGCATAGTGGGCCATGAACGTGTGTGTACCGAGGACCACGTCATGGCTTTACAGATGTCCTGGATTGGAATGTGTGCCAGGAAGGCTTTTGTCGAGTGGGCTCTGATGATCGGTGGCGGAGGGACTCACACTAAATTGTAGCGGGTCCAAATGCAAGAGGTGATCCAATTAGAAACCCTTTGCATGGACACCGGGAGGCCCTTCATCCTATCGGCTGTAGAGATGAAAAGCTGAGTCGACTTATAGAAAGGTTTTGTCTGATCTAGATAGAAAGCCAGGCCCTTCTGACATCTAAAGCTTGAAGGCGCCTCTCTTCACTAGTCTCATGGGCCTTCGGGCAGAAGACTGGAAGAAAGATGTCCTGGCTCATAAGGAAAGCGGACACCAGCTTGGGAAGGAAAGCTGGGTGGGGACGGAGCTGGACCTTGTCCTTACAGAAGATCGTGTATGGCGGTTCCGAGGTTAGGGTTCACAGCTCGGAGACTTGCCTCACCAATATCACCACCACCAGGAAAGCTGCCTTCCAATGATAGGTGAGATAAGGAGCACAAGGCCAAAGGCTCAAAGGGCGGACCCGTGAGTCAAGACAGAACCAAGTAGAGATCACACTAAGGGGATGGGGACTGGACTTGAGGCCTCTAAGGAACCTGACGGTCATGTCATGAGAAAACACAGTCTGCCCCTGAATTGGCGGATGAAAGGCCAAAATGGCCACCAGGTGCACCCTGATAGAAGAGTTCGCCAGGCTCTGGTTCCTTAAATGAAGCAGCAAGATCGACTGCACCAAAGAATGCGAAGGGGAGATGCCCCGTTCGGCCGCCCAGCAGTAGAACCTTGTCCACTTTGCCAGGTAGTTCTGCCTAATCGAGGGCTTTCTACTCTCAAGGAGGACCTTCTGGACTCCGACCAAACAGGCCCGTTCATTCAGGTTCAGCCACGCAACATCCACGCTGTGAGGTGGAGAAACGTGAGGTTGTGGTGCAAGAGTCAGCTATGATCCTGTGACAGCAGGTCCAGTCGGTTTGGCTGGGGCCACGGAGGGATTGCTAACAAACTTGACAGCATCCCAAACCAATGCTGGGGAGGCCATGCCGGGGCGATCATGATAACCTGCGCCTTGTTCCTCTTTTTTCACTAGTACCTTGCTGATGAGCTGAATCAGAGGGAACACATACATCAGGCTTCCTGTCCATGGCAGGAAGAAGGCATTGGAGAGGGAGCCCTTGCCCAGACCTCATATGGAGCAAAGCCTGTGGCACCTCCTGTTCTGCCTTGTGGCAAACAAATCCACTTGGGGAGTTCCCCACCTCTGGAAAATCATGCCGGCTACCTACAGGAGGAGCAACAAGTCCCTGCTTGGTTGATCTGCTAGTGTGTTCCTGGCCCCCCAGAAGGTGACACGCTTCTAGACGGATTCCGTGGTCGATGAGGAAGTCCCAGAGACGGAGTGCCTCTTGGCAAAGGGCCGAGGATCACGCTCTGCCTTGCCTGTTGATGTAGGATATCGAGGCTGTGCTGCCCATCAGGACTCTGACCACTCTGCCTGACAAGTGAGGTAGGAAGACCGCACATGCTCTGCACACCATCCTGAGCTCTTTGACGTTTATGTGTAGCATTGAGTCCTCTGGGGATCACATGTCTTGGGTCTGGAGGGTGCCGAGGTGCGCCACACAGTCAAGGTCCGAGGGATCCGAAACCAACTCAACTGAGTGAGGAACGCTGACGAAGGGAACTCCCTCCAGGACTTTCCCAGGGTCGGTCCACCATCGCAGCAAGGTAAGTACCGTCGCGGGGATGGTGACGACCTTCTCCAGGTGGTCCCTGGACTGGGAGTAGACCGTCACCAGCCATTGCTGCAAGAGCCGCATCTGGAGCCTGGCGTGGCACACCACACACATACACACTGCCATGTGACCTAGTATGTGTAGGCAAACGCTGGCTGTGGTCACGGGAAACGTGGAGACTTCTGCGATGACGTCTGTCAGTGCCCTGAATCTCTCCTTGGCAGGAACACTCTGGTAGAGGTTGAGTCGAGCATCATTCCAATGAACTCTATCCTCTGTACCGGAACTAACATGGATTTTTTTTGTCATTCACCAACAGGCCGAGGTGACGGCACATGGCAAGCAGCACCATGACATCCCCTTGGACCTGGAGTTGCCCTTGACAAGCCAGTTGTCGAAGCACAGGTAGATCTGGATTCCTGGATGTCTGAGGTAAGCTTCCACCACCGACATGCACTTGGTAAATACCCATGGCGCTGCCACTAGGCCAAACGGAAGAACCGCGAACTGATAGTGGTCGGGACCTCCCGTGAACCAGAGGAACCGTCTGTGTCCCTTGAAGATGGTGATGTGGAAGTACGCATCTTTCAGACTGAGGGTGGTGTACCAATCTCCCGGATCCGGGGGGGGAGATGATGGAAGCTAGGGAGACTATGCGGAACTTCAGTTTCGCTAAGTAGCGGTTCAAGCCCCGCAGGTCTAGTATGGGCCGCAGACTGCCATTGGCTTTGTGGATTAAAAAGTATCAGGAATAGAACCCCTTGTTTCTGTACCCCACAGGAACTACCTCCACCGCACCCAGCTGTAGTAGACCCTCTGCCTCCTGTACAAGAAGATTCTCATGAGGGGGTCCCTGAAGAGGGACGGGAAGGGGCGGTAGAAAGTAACTGAAGGATGTAACCCTGTGCCCGCCACCATATTAAGGACCCATCGGTCCAATGTTGTAGATGCCCATGCAGGGAGGAAGGAAGAAAGGCGGTTGGCAAACAGAAAGGAGGAAGGATTGGGGAACAATTTGGTAGGTCACCCATAGGTGGTCCGGTGGCTTGCTCGCCCACTTCCTCCTGTAACCTGCAGTGGGGTGGGAGAGGGCGGTAGCCAGTCTCTCTTAAGCTCCAGATACTGAGCGCGCAGCCTGAGAAGGCTAAGCAAACCCCCATGGGTACCACTGTGCCGGCCACGGAGTCTGAGGCCATGGGCCTGCTTGCAGTGCTGCAGCTGTAGTCTGCACCGTAGGTGCTGGGGCCTGTCCTGCCGCTAGGGAACCTTGCTCCAAACCGAAGCCAAAGTCCGAGCGGTCGCTCCCCTGCGACAAACACAGGGCTGCTTGGTGGCTCTGTCCTGATCGGTACCGGTCGCCCCTCCTGGAGTTGGATCTGGCTGACCTCGACGAGCATCTGGATTGGGGCCTTGGGCACTAGTGGCACTCGGCGGACCTGCGACAGCCCTGGGCCAGCGATCTATGCCTCACGCTTAACGAGCGGTACCAGGATGTGGAGCAGGATCGGGAACTAGAGCGGGCTTGGCATCATGAAGATGTAGCCACATGCAGTGATGCCACCCTGGGGGATCGGCGATGGTCCACGGAATGGTACCGTTGGTCCCTCTACCTGTCCCTGGAGCAGTACCGGTGCCGTGGAGATTCTGGGCACTGATTCCGAAACTCCTGCCAGGGGACATGTGCCTCCAGAGGTCTGCGCCCGGTCACCGGCGAGCTGTGCCTCGAGCCTCTCTGCCCTTGTCCGAAGTCCAGAGAGGGGATGGGGCTGCAAGGCTTCTACCTATCATAGTCAGAAGCGTGTCGGGTGTGTGAGGGCAACCACTGGCGGGACGTTCCCCGCAATGGGGAATGCTACAGGAAAAGTGGAGACTGTGGTGATGGTCCCAATGCGGGTTTACCCCGGGACCCCACAGGGGCTGGAGTGGCCGGCACTGGGAGGGACATAATGTCTTGCGTTGCTCGGAGGGCCTCCGGCGTGGACAGCACCTGGAGCTGACGAGGACCTCCCACCACTATCCAGGGTAGCCGGCAGGGAGCAGGTTGGGCTACACCGCTCGACCTGAGCTGGGGCCCGGGATCCCGAAGTGGCTGAAGAGGCACCCATGACAGGGCCTTGGTCCACCCCAAACTTGTCCTTTCCCTTGCGGGAAGCTGGAAACCTTCCTTGCCCCATCTTCTTGGGCTTCTTGGCTGGAGCCATGGAAGGAAACCGGTGCCGGCTCATAGATGGTACTGGCAGGGCACTGCACACTGAGGTCATGGTACTTGGCACTGAATCAGAGCACTGCTCCAGCATCGGGGTAAGGGCAGACTCCATCCGGAGCACCTTCAAATGAATGTCACATTTCTTCTTCGTCCTGGGCTTGAAGGACTTGCAGATTTTGCATTTATCACTGATATGACCTTCAACCAAGAACTGTAAACAACTATTATGTGGATCACTAATGGACATGGGCCTTTTATCTAACTTAACAAATAGGTTGAACTAAACTAGAGGGAATCTATATACAGTAATATTTGCAAGAGGCAAATGAGTTCGAACTAACGAAAAGCAACAGCTCTAGCTGACGCAGTATCAGTTCCATGCACTGACGCTGGCGGCAAGAAGGAACTGAGGGTAGAGGGGGCCAGCAGTGCCCTATATGCCGCAGCATATGCGCGCCATTCCAGGGGGCTCCAGAGCTGGTCCCTTACGGATACTGCTGAGGGAAACACTTCCGGCACTGGTGCATGTGGCGAGCACACACACCTAAGTTGAATGGACATGAGCAATCACTCAAAGAAAAACCTCTCATGTGTATTTGGGAGAAATGGGCTTACCATATGTAACTGCTGTCATTTACTTGTACAAACTGTATAGGGTGCAAAATTCCATGCACAAAAATCAGTTAATGGCACAGATATTTTTATTTGTTTTTAATTGCATGCATATGCATACGCAGAAATGCAAAGAGAAATCATTAAGAATGAATCTTTTTTGTCTCTTGGACTGCAACTAGGGCTCTTCTCAGCAACCTACATGCATCATTCAGCACATTATGTTACAACAAAGAGTGACTGGTGTATCAACCTCCCTGGCCAAGAGGAGATGTGCGATATTTTAGATTTAGGGCTTGATCTTGTGCGACGCTGAACACTCCTCGAGGTGCAAACCACCTTCAACTTCCACTGACATCAGAGGGCATTCAGAACCTCTTCCAATTGTTCATCACCCAAGATTTTGGCCTCACCAAAGCAGTGACAATACCAAAGACCTCCATCACTGATGGTGCTCTCAGCGTGGCCACCAGTAACAGTTTCCAGTTTTTAAAACTTCCAATGCTAGAAACAATGGAATAAATAGCACTTTGTGAACCTCTCTTACCCTCTCATCCGTTGGCACCTTGGCTACTTCATCCTGGCTATCCTCAGGCACTGGGACTCTAGCAACGGAGAGTCCATTTAACGCTGCCAACATCAAGGGCCTCTTCTGGGCCTCCAGGCCTGCCATCTTCTGTTTCTCTAGATTCTTTTGGCAAGAAAAGGCATGTTTTTCATCTCTGTGTTATCTATAACGCCAGTAAAACACTGGAATGCTTTTTTAATCTCCAAAATCTGCAACTCTCTAGCCAAGGAATGCAGATGATCACCATTAGCAGAGTAAATTCAAATAAAACCTCCAATTCTTCCTATTATTCCCCAGGGGCCTACTCCTACATGAGCACAGAATTTTAATTTCAAAGGAACAATCCAAAAGGTAAAATATAGCTTACTTGCTACCAAAAGAATTGCAAATACAACTCTTGAGCATCTTTTCTGTAATGGTAAGTTGCTAGCAGGACATAAAGAATCATCTCACCATGTCATGATGGCAATACTTATGCAAACATATCCTATACTGGTTTTAAACGGTGTTCAATTCCATTTACTGCAGCAGAAAACCATGAAAAATATACACTGCTTGCCTCACTGCAAGTTTTATCTTTGCTGAGGTGTTTGTTTAATGCTTAGAATGGGAAATACTTTGGTAAATTTAAACTACTGTGTTTGGTAAATGTCCAGCTGTTAATGGTGCCCACTGTATACTGGATGCTAAGAATGATCTCATGGTGTTTAAAAACATATTTTAATATGATGCGATGCACAGAACTTGCTTTACATCATATTCATGTAGTACATTACACTGCTGTATGGAGAGTTTGAGTTCTAATTTCGTTCTGTGGCTAGTGGGAAATGATACATCTAAGAGGTGGAGGGCCACAACTCCAGGAAGGTGAAGAGGGGGAAATATTTCATTTCATTCTCTTGGCGACTCTTCCCTCCTGATTTTGGGGGAAAGCAATGCACAAAGGCTGTCTGGATCACAGCTGCTTTTGAAAACTGCTATTACAGCATGGTCCAAGCTCTCCTGCTGGAAAAGCACTCCCCACGGGCATATAGTAAATGGATTGTTTCTGGAACGGGCCAGTCTGCAAACTTTGTCATTGCCCTTAGGTACCTTGGCATAACTGCATAAAGATACTCATCCTACTGGTGAAACTAGCAAAAATTAAAACCATGTTTTTACCAGATTTACAGACAGTTCAAGATCTGGTAATTTTGCCCAATTTCTGTTTGGTTTTCTGCTATGGCTTCATAAAAATCTGCTGTCTTGGACAAAACAGAATGTCCCAAAGTGAAAATGGTGAATTCTGTGCTTACGGGATCAGCCACGACACCAAATTCACAAATGGTTAGCTGATAGTTTTCAATGCCCATGGTGAAAGAGGTAGAAATGTCATGTGATTCCTGAACTAGACTGGAAACCATTTTAAAAGCAATTTGAGCATAAAAAAAGAGAATAACCTCTGTTTGCAAAAAGCAAACATGCACATGGTGTTGATGAGGTGAACAAAGTTGATCTAATACTGAATGAATATCCAGAACAGAGGTTCTCAGATTATTTTGCCACTCCTGGCCCCAATACCCCAAGCTTTTCTCTATCTTTCCCCACATCCCAGAATCCTCTGTGCCCAGTCTCACAATCCTTTGTACTTCTTTGGTCCCTCCAAAAGTCTAAAATGCTGTAATACACACACACAAATTTGTTTTGAATTCCTTGGGCTGTCTACAGCTAAGGAAGACAATTACACTCAATGCATAACCCTTTGATCACTTCATATCTGAAAGAGATCAAAAAATATAATTCAGATCGTTTTACTGAATATATTCTGGGATGCTACACAGTTAAAAAGCCTTACCACTGCAGTATTTACATGTGAGAGGTTATATTTTGCAAGCAGAAAGTTTATAACTTTTTTTTTTTGTTAAATAAAAGCTTAGATACTGTAGGGAATAACGTAATCTCTAGGATACAGCTTTGTGGTCCATCTTGAGACCTTGACCCCAAGAATCAGAACCAATGACCCAGGAAGTGACAGTTTTCAGGATTTGAGAGATCCATTTTTGCATTTGTTCTAGCAGAACTCAAAGGAAACAGAGGGCCTGTCAACTTTCAGACTAACAAATAATTTTGTTGTCACTACTTCTAAATCATTACTTCAAATGCAAGAATCAGCGATAACAAAATGGGAGCTTTCTAAACAAGCTTGAAAAATCCCCTGGGGTATAGTGAAGTGTTTCATTATAAATGTAGATATTAAGTAACCTCATTTTATTTGCTGACTAATAGCCCCGCCGTGAAGAATATTAACAGCAAGGCTAGTATTATTTTTATTATTATTATTTCTAAACACCCCCAGATCACTTGGACATCACATTAATGTAAATGGATTCAAAATTTCTTCTGCTCTTGGACCCATCCTGAAAAAGAAATATGCACTTTCTTAACTTGATTTCAATAGGACTATTCACAGTTTCTAAAGTTAAGCCCATGACTAAGTCTTTGTATTTTGATACCTTCCCTGCTGTCTATCATCGAGGTCTATGGAAGACCAGACTTTAGATCTGTCCATTTATTATATTATATTTTAGGGAACATATGTACTGTATTCCTACAGCAAGCAGAAGAGATGGACACTCAGTAATAAGTCTCTTCAAAAAGGCATGTCAGTAATGCAGGATGTCTAAATTAAGTTGTTAAAAAAATAGTATTTCACAGTTAGTCACTCTTATCAGTTTAATCTCTTTAAACACTGTGCTCGCCAGGTATGCGCATAATTCATTAACTGAGTGTTGTGGGCTGGTACTTTCATCTGAAAACTGCTGTAGTGTGCAGCTGTGCAGGAAAAAGCAGTTGTGTAAGCATCTTATGTTTGTTCTAGGAAACTGAATGAGAATTTAAGGATTCCCATTCCCCACACTTCAGAGAAAGAAAAAACAGCATCTCTACTTCCTCAAGTTAGCAGTATTGCTCCTTTTGTTGTGCTTCAAGTCACTAGTTTAGAAAATCAGCAATCCAAATTCTAGTGCCACCAAAGTTTTGTCCTCATAAAACTCAGTCACGTAGGTTAAGTAAAATTGTAGGCTAAGCATATGCTACATCACTGTCAAAGCAGCAATCCTAAGTGATAAGCCATCTAAATGTCATGGGTTGGACGCTCTGCACTAACACTGCATATTATGCAGTGCTTTGCTTTATTTCCCTGCAAAGTAGGGAGAATATGCTACTGAACCAGAATTCTCCACTCGTACTGGTGATGGCATTGCAAACCTATTCAAATTACAGCGCTCTAAATGACTGCACAAGCAGCCAGGCAGTGGAGAATCAGACCCTGCATTTTTTACTCACTTTTACCTTCCAGCTAATCCTATGACTGTCAAAAACTCTTTTTTCTGCATAAGGCTGTTTTACATTCCTCATTGTTTAGGATATAACCGTTTTGAGTTACACATTTTGGGAAATTAAAAAAAACAACAAAAAAACAGGTTGGTTCTTTGGTTCAAAGAAGCCTCTGCATTAGAGAAAGATACTTACCCTCATCATCATCTCTCTTTCTATAATGCTGTCCTCGATAGAAAACATTTCAGACACAGGCCTTTCCTTCACTGGTTCTTTCTTGACCCTCTCCTTTACACTCGTGAGGTCAGGCTCTGAGATAGATGGTCCAAGTGAGGACCCATTCATTGTCATTTGATCAGTTCGAGACACGCTAATGGCCTTGGTAGGCCCTGGCCTCATGGCCTTGGCCCTGGCTACAGCCACTGAAATGTTTACTTGGTCCTGCCTCAGGGCTCCATTGCTAACACTTTTCCGTGGCCCGGGATACTCAGGAGGAGGTTTATTTGGTATTCTAGCCAAAGCAGCTTGCAACTGAGCACTATATTCCACATTTTCGTGGAGCGGTGCTATCTGTGACACTGATTCTGCAGCTTCTTCTTCCTCTTCGCTTTCACTGCTGTGTATCAGCATTGTGGCACTCGAGAACGTCTTCTTGTGATGGTAGCAAGGGAGCTGCTGAACTGCATGTTCCACCTGCAATGCCTCTTCTGGCTGCACCTGCTCTCGCAAAGTGTTTCTACGTGGCAGAGGGGCATTTAAAGTCTTTAAAGCCATAGCTTCTATACCACGTACCATATTGCTGATGACCTCCAAACTATGGCGCTTGTTCAAAGCTGCATGATGTTTGACTGCCATGAGGGGCTCACTAACCTCCTGGAGTGACTGATGAACCACTGGCAAGCTGTCCTCTTGGAATGTCTTCACTGAGAGCTGGACCTTCCGAGTAACCAAATCAGGGCTACTGCCACTGACATATTTATGACGGTGGCTCGCTAGGTCAGGTGTGCTGGTGGCAGGACGCGGACGTGGATATGGAGGTGGTGGCCTGAAAAGGTAGTTTTTTAACATATGGGCAGTACTATAGTTTTGACTGCTCTGCAGCTGCATGTTAGCAAGTTCTGGCGTGCTAACTGTGTGGGATATGGCACTGGCTGCTGCCTTATTCTGCACAGCATTATTAGGGTTCATTTGGTCAGGCGGGGCAACAGGTTTGTTATAACCACCATGCGGCCCATAAGGAACAGTATAGGGATGTCTCTCTCGAATCTCAGGTTGGCTGTAAACCAGGTCTTCTGGTTGGTTGTAAGCATGTGTGTTTCCAATATTGAGGTTCCTTAAAGATTGACTTTGGCTATCCATGTGAATAACCCCTCTCTTCATTTGCCTCATGACAGTTTCATAGTCTGGCGTCGGCCTGTAGGACGGCACTATGATTGCACTATGTCTATGGCTGGGGATGTAGTCTGCTCTCATGATATCACTTCCTGGGATGCTGAGATTGGAGGACATTGGAGACGCCTGAACAAAGTTCTGTGAACGGTTGAGGGAGTTCATGCTGTGGGCACTGCACATACTGCCATTTGGCCCATTACCATTTAAGTAGCTGAAGTCCATGGGACACCTGTCCAAGCTGGTCTGAGACCTACAATAGAATGTTTCTTCATTTCCATGGAAAATGCTGTCTGTGTATGGTAGAGATAAAGAAAAGGACACTTTAACAAACAAGGGCACATTCAATGTCACGATCCTCAAAACCTTTCCTAAATAAAACCACCAAAACTTCAAATGCATTCTGGACCACTGATTAAGAGGCAGCCTTGTGTACATCCGTGCAGGACATGTGGTCTCAGGACTGGCCTTTCAGATTGTTTTGCCACTCCTGTACTCAATACCCCAAGCTTTTCTCTACCTTGCCTCACATTCCAGAATCCATTGTGCTCTTTCCATCCCCCCAAAAAGTCCAAAATGCTGTAATACACCCGCACGTTGTAGTTTGTTACTTGTGTCAGAAATGGGATCAAAACAATACTCCAGATCCAAACACTCCTGCAATTTGGGAACATTTGGAGGTTGAACACTGTCTGTACAATTGGCTGCACCTACATCCTAGATCCAAATCACGCCCATGCTTTGAAACAGTTCAGATCCAGACCCTCTGGCAGGTTCTTAAGGCGGAGGAAGTGGTTGTGGAACTCTCTCTTCCCCCTCCATCCATCTGCCTCTCAGCAGGTTCACAGCTGTTATCTAAAGATACATCCCACAATTGGCAGCACTAGGCCCCAGAGCTACTGTACCACTGAACATTCTCTGAGGTCTCCTCTTGATATACTGCCCTCCCTGCCCCAAGCAAGCAGAGATTGTGAAGGGGGGGCGGGGTGTCCCTCCAGGGCTGTAGCAGGTTCCTCAACATCAAACCAATTTCTTGTCTCCAGGACTCTAAGCAAGCCAAAGCAGGCTGATCATGCCCCCGAGGAAGCAAAACAGCCCTCTGATCAGGTAACTGAAGCACAGAAAATAAATGATTTGGCCAAGGTCACAAAGGGAGTTTTCGGCACTGGCAGGAATATAAAAAAAATCAGATCTCGAGTCACAGCTGAGTGTCTTAACCATAGGACTATCCTTCCTCCTAAATCTCACAGGACTCAGAAGGATGGCCACCTCCAATGATTCTGGTGTAAGCAATTGCCCAACATCATATGAGAAGTCTTTGGTAAAGTCCACTCCTGCTGCGTCTCAGTCCATTCCTTTGTATAGCCCCTGCCTCATGCACGAGACACAATCACTACACTAAGATTCCATCATGTGACATGATTGGCTAGGGCACTTCAGCTGTGTCTCTCACAGTATGCAGACATAGCTTTGAGAAAATCATTTAAAAAGAGAGGGTGGTTAAGTGAACGACATGTGACTCTGCCACACTAGAGGCCAGGGCTCTGTTTCCAGTTCTAGTGGAAGTGACTTGGTGCAACATTTCCATCATCTCATCTGCCAAAAGGGGTGGTGGGAAATGATAGTTGCGTCTCCCTAGTGTAGAGGTATGTCAATAACAGTGCATGGAAATACAAACAGATGTCAGCAGAACTTATGGTCTCCTCATGCCCAGGCCAGTGCACTAGGCTACAGGATATTTTGTGAGAATCTCTCTCTACTCCTTAGATTCCAGCCATCATACTTTCCTCAGACAGCCGTTCTGAGGCTGACCCTGCACAGAGCCAAAAACACAACTTTTTATTCACACACTTCTGAAGCTTGACCCTGGTGACAGGCACTAAAACAGAGCAAAGGCCATCCAGTAATATACAGGCTATGTGGATCTGCTCCCCCCTCAGCTCCCCAGGTTCACTTGATCTGCAGAAAAAAGCAGTATAAGAAAGTTGCAATTTTAAAATCAGGCCATTTGGGGAGACCTGTAACTTGGCAACCCCTTGACTAGCTGACCCCAAACATGCCCTATAAACTCTACCCACTGCACTTAACTGGTATGCCAAATTCCAAGCCCTTCTAACGGTGCAGGTGTATTTTAGATAAATTTGAAAATTGGGCTTTAAACAGAACCCTGCTGCAACCTTAACTATGAAGTTATTGTGGAGGAGTGATACTAACTCCCATTTGGCGAGGATGGCATTCTGGAAATCAAGATCTGATGAACAAGAGCCCCTTTGCTGGCACATTAAGCTGCAGATCTCTGAAAGGAAATACCTTGTGAGTTGTTTGTTTCAGTATAGTGTTCTCCGCACTGGACATGCATAGGCGGCAGTATAAATGGGTGCTGTCTTGGCTGAAATAAAAAAAAAAACATGAATAACTTCGGCAAACTGGAGCTTTGCCACAGTTTTTGAATATGAAGTGCAGAAGAAATTACTCTAGATTCTTTCCGCAATACAGAATATTTCCTTACAGAGTTCTGCAGAAGTGTACAGAGCTTTACAAACAAAAGACATAGGGTAATGAGTTCAAAAGTGCCTGTGTGACTTAGGCATCTATGTCCCATTTCCAAAAGTGACTTAGCTACTTAGGAGCCTGGTTCTTATTGAAAATCACTGGGGCTTAAGCTCTCTAACACATAAGTCACTTTTGAAAATGGAATTAAGGCTCCTTGCTCACTTTACTTTTCAACATTTTCACCCAGAGTCCTTGCCCCTGAATAGCTTAGAAACGAGGCTTTGACAAAAACAAGAGGAGACAAAAACACAAGGAGTAGTAGGTAGGAGATGAGGGCAAAGGCAATAGCAACATGAGGTGGCTCAGCAGAGTCACGCAGTGTCTTGAATGCAGAATTTCAGTGAGCAAACCCCCAACTGATAAATATTGCAGCTAGCACTGTGATATGGTAGGAATCAGTGGCAGGGATGCTTTAGTATTAAATCAATGGATTATTTAAAAGTAATATAGGTAATAATAAATAAATAATAAAGGTAATAATATAATGCATGGATGATGTCATAATCAGCAGTTTTGTCCATGCATAAAGTGAAGTATTTGGAGGATGGCACTGCAGCCACCTCGGCTGTGGGTGTGATTAAGTTGAGAAGTTTACGGAAGCACACACAGGTGTGTTCAGAGAGACACAAACTGTTCCGAGTTCTGAGCAAATCATAGAATCATAGAATATCAGGGTTGGAAGGGACCCCTGAAGGTCATCTAGTCCAACCCCCTGCTCGAAGCAGGACCAATTCCCAGTTAAATCATCCCAGCCAGGGCTTTGTACCTGCAAGGACAAGGGCAGGACTCTGGGTGAAAATGTACCTGCAGAACCACCTCAGAGGCACCTCTCACACAGGCTGGTTCCAGGAGAGCAAAATACTGACTGAGCCCATAGCTTCAAGGAGAAAAGAGGCACAGTCCACCTTTGTGCAGAGTCAAAGGGCCACAATGACAGCCAGCCACTGAACGGGCGAAAAAGGAGATAGGCTCGGCTTACACCTATATTTTCTATGGGATCAGGGGAATAAAAAAAGTGAAAGCGACTGTGATGAGGCATCTAAATCCTTGCAAGCACTATGACAGGGAAAGGGTGAGGTCAGAACCAGAGGAAAACAGGAAATGCTCCTGCTGGACCCAGTTACAGGTGAGGGTGTTCCGAAGAGCATGGCTCTAGGCAGCAGAGAATGGTTCTATTGGCAGCCTGAGAGGCAGAACTTAGTCTGGCAAGCACTGAAGGAGCCTACGTAGGTCTGAGCCAGAAAAAAGCCTTCACACTAAAGAGAACGGGTCTCCTGCTAGGAATGTATCATATATATTAGGAAATATAGGAAACAAGCTGAATCCCACATTATTGTGGGACTGGTCTGAAGGACTCTTCTGTTATTGGAAAAGCAGGACTTTTTTGAGAGACCAGACAGAACAGTCTACCCTGAAGTAGTTGGGGAGCAGCTTGAAGCCTGGAGCAGTCAGAAATCCAATTCAGGGATCACTGCGGGGTTAAAAAACAAAACCACACTAGGGCCTCTTACAGGCTTTCTTCCACCTGTGTGAGAGTCATTGGAATTTTGGCTAGAGTAAATAGACTTTTGCCCAATGGAAATAAAAAAGTACAGAGTTAATGGGCCTGATTCTCAGTTATCATCCTATCATTAAGACCATGACAGAGCAGTATAAAAGGGGCTTGAAATGGGTATAAATGCAATTATGCTGCCAAAGCGGTATAAGGAGGCCTTAGTGTAAATGAGAATCCAGGCCATTTTGTCAAATGTCAGAGACACACCACAGACTTCACTTCAAAATTATCCCACTTCTGCCTACTGATTTATTACAAGGCTACCATAGAAGACCAAGGCTTAGTGATAGTGCTATCTAGAACTGCTGTATACAGCTCGAGGAGGCTGTCTGCAAGGCTAATTGCTATAAAGAACAATTACTCTAACAAGTGAGCAAAACTACTTTTAAAAAGAAGCATGTGAAGGTTCATTTGAACAGAGCGAAAACCAGGTTGTTTTTGAGAGGAGAGTCACCTATTCCTCTTCTCATTGCTCCCAATCCATTTTCTCATTTGCCAATAGTTTACACATAGAATCTAAACAAAGGAGGCATGATTAATTTTTCCTGTTAAAATGTAGGCTTCCATTTTCCATATCTGATAGGAAGAGGGTCTTGTTTTCTTTGCGATAAAGAAGAGGCTGATCAGATCATAAGGCATTTAAGGGCCCTTTCATTTTCTTACATTAGCTATTTCACATCAAGGCTCATAAAGCAAATTAGCAGAGAATAAGAATTCTATATTTTAAAAAATGTAACACAGAAAGTGCAATAACCAAACTGTGCTAACCAATAGCTCTCTGGAAGCAAGCTTAAAATGATAGGCAGTTTTGGAAAGGAAACTGGGCAGGACTATTAGTTTAAAACATAGGTACCTGCCCACATGTGAAAACTATTAAAAGCTTTTGGAGAGGAAAATATGACAACTTTTAATACCACTGAAATAAAATGGACTAGAACAGATTTGTAGAAGGAACAGAATGAATAAATGGTACAGATTTTGTTAAAACACAGGCACTGCCCATCTTGAAAAGGGACAGCTGCTGTGCATGGATAAGAGGTGTCAGAAACAGAACTACCAACACTGACTGTCACACAGACATATGCTAATAAGATTTATTACTTCAGGAAGGTGCTACAAACCAAGAAAACTGTACTTCATTACTGGGCCTGAATGAGGCAAGAAGGAAGCCTATCTTCTTTTGTTTCACAAGCAAACCATTTTATACAGCCATGATAATCTTTGCCCTCTATGGAAGGGACTGGCAATGTTATTGCACCTTGCCATTCTCTCTTAGGTTTTCTGCTGGAATTCGATATTTCTTGGGGGTGGTTCAAGGGTGCTCGGAGAAAAATGTAGCAGCAAAAGAAAGCTTATCCCTACAACTGGCTGAAAAATGGAACATAATGTTTGCAAAAATTTCTCGGAAAATTGTCTCATTTTTGTGAAAATTTCAATTAAAAATATTGTCAAAAATTGAAAGCAGCTCTATTTAGCTGCATGGATTTACAAAAGAAAGAAAATATTGAATCACAGAATTATGTACTGATTGTAAAAGTTTTACTCAGAAATATTAGGCACTTCACAGAAACACATAATGAGATAAAGTTCCCACAGTCTAAATGCAGACTTGACACCTTAGGGTGACAAAAAATAGAGGACGGAGGAAGGGTTCAGGGCAACACACTGTAAAATCATGCAGTGATTCAGTTTTGGCGTATGTATGTTTTGAGGTTCCGTTACGTATACAGTAATAGATTTTTCAAATTCTACCCAACTTGCAGGAGATTTCTTACCCTGCAGGACAAATCCCATTGAACATCACTGCATTCCTGCAGAAAAGATGTTCCATTTTTGCAGGACAAGTAGAAACATTAAAGCCCCAAGGCCTATAAGTTTTAGAATCAGTAGTACTAATTCGTTCCATTTAAACAAACGCAATTGCTGTAGGCGATATGGCAGGAATGAGTTTCAAGAATGCCGATGTCTAGTCAATCAATATATTTGAACTTTAGAAAATGTCCCATCTCATGTATTGCCCCATCCCTGTATCAGCAGTACCAGCATTATTATTGAAGACCGCACTATAGTACATACCAAGGATGACCTACTCCAGGTGGGCCGCCGTCTGATAGGGGGAGGAGAACTTGATTGTCTGTGGGGAAAAGTGGAGAGAGATACTAGGAACTGGTCTTACTACAAAGTTTAAATTCTGATTCAAGACTGGCTGAGGAAAATATGAGCCTAAGATACTGAAAGGTATTCCTTATTGATAGATTTATATCAAATAAAACAGATGGAAATAATTCAGTTCCTGCTCTAAGTATAGATGTATTTTTATTCCAAAATAAACATGCTTTCTGGACATTATCCTATTTGGCCTAATTGGAAACAAGGGAAAGAAAATAAACTCTGGTTTAAAAATGACAAATGTAAAAAGTAGACGTCTCTTAAGGAAACATGGGCCAGCTCTCAAGATGATACAGGTGAACAGAAAAAACAGTGAGAGCATCTTGGAGAAGTCACAGCAAATCACAAAAAGGCAGTGCACAGATCAAGAGAGGAAAGATTGGCTGAAGGACAAAGCTAGTGGAGGCAGGTATAATGTTGGAGTAGCCAGATGTAGTGGGAATACTTTAAAAAGGAAGGGGGAAAGAAAAAAAACTTTGAGGAGTCAGAAATATAGTTCTTACGTGTAGAGAGGAAAGGTGGAATTTCTCCTCTTAGAATTTCTGATCTGGTGAATGATGTTATGTGCGATTAGAGGAAATGCACACAGAGGAAATACAAACAACAACAGAGTCATTTTAACACAGAAGTTGGGAAAAGTGTTCAGTCAGAAAACACACTGCAATATGTTGCTTGCTATCAATACATGTAACTCTAACACAAATGGTGGTGCAAGGACAAAACCAGTTAACTTAGTAACTGTATTTTAGTTCTATTTATTTCTCTCAGCAACTTCATTTGCTACTTATTTTTATCTGAGAATAGAAAAATGCAAGTGTTTTTAGATGTTATATATCTGAAGTGTCTCTCTATACTGGACTTATGGTATCCGAGAACCTACCCCTCAATGTCAAGGGATAAATAACTTGAGCAAACGCCACTGCTTATGAAGTCTGAATTTAAACAGCCTTTACTGTAATAGGAGAATCTTCTGTGTTGACCCTGGTATATAGTTTCAAAGTAGAAATATGCTCCTCTCCAGGATCCGCTCAAAGTTTTTTTTAACCTTTTAGCCATCACATTGCTTTTTGTTTTTCTAGAGGAGAGAATCAGAAGCTTCCCTTTGAACTTGCTCCTCAAACTGTGTGTGATGTTGCACTCCATAATGCTCTATAGAAATATGCTTATAAATGTAAATATAACATAATTGGAATATGTTTTATGCTCGATATCTCATGTAACACATCTTTGCAAAGGTTATGTTCTACTACATTTATCATTTTTATATCTGAAGTCATGAGAGTTGGCTCTATGCTTCTATTTAAAATGTTTGCTGTAGAAAGAACCTAAGGCAGATTTGGTCAACATAGTGTGAAAGGGTTATTCAAGTAAATGGAAGTACTTGGCTAACAATGGACCTTGATAGATGTCAATTCGCATCTGAGCGTTCCTGGGAACGTTCAGGCTAACATCTGAGCAATGGCTCAGCCTGTAGAGAACTGAGTCATGCATGAACATGCGACTTGCCCATGTGACTCCAAAGCTCCATCTTGTAGCTGTAATTCTACACAGGGGAAGAGAGGGGTTTCCACCCACAAGAGAGAGACTATATAAGCCCCTGGAAATCCCTCCATTTTGTCTTCAGCTGTCTCAGAAGATAGCCTCTCCACCCCAAAGAGATGCCTGAAAGAAACTGGAACAAAGGACAATAACTACAGGGGTGTGAGTGTTTGCTGGACCCAGATTAAGAGGAAGTCTAGTCTGTAAAAGAAGCTTATTGGAACATCACTAAGAGTGAGATTTACCTGCATTTAGTTTCTTACTGTATTAGGCTTAGACTTGCGTATATTATTTTACTTTGCTTGGTAATTTACTTTGTTCTGTCTGTTATTACTTGGAACCACTTAAATCCTACTTTTTATATTTAATAAAATCACTTTTTACTTATTAATTAACCCAGAGCAAGCAAGCAATTCCTGGGGGAGCAAACAGCTGTGCATCTCTCTCTCTGTGTTAGAGGGCGAACAATTTATGAGTTTACCATGTATAAGCTTTATACAGAGTAAAATGGATTTATTTGGGGTTTGGATCCCATTGGGAACTGGGAAAACTTCTTAAGTTGTTTTCAGTTAAGCCTGCAGCTTCTGTGGGACGTGGTTCAGTCCTGGGTCTGTGTCTGTAACAGGCTAGAGTGTCTGGCACAACCCGGCAAGGTACTGAAGTCCCAAGCTGGCAGGGAAAATGGGCTCAGAGGTAGTCCCAGCACATCAGGTGGCAGTTCCAAAGGGGATTTCTGTGACCAAATACATCACACAGTTCAAAACAAAATTAAATCCACAATGTTGGATTATGAAAGTGCAAACATATTTCTACCAAGAAATAAATAAAATATTGGAAACATGTCCAACTCCCAAGAATAGTAGATAGCATTTGAAATCTGATCAACTACAAGCTTCTTCTTTGGGTGATAAGGCAGTGGTTATATTTAGAGTTCCCTTCATCAGCCCTCCACTAACTTACCCCATTTGAAAATTTATTTTATGCTCGGTATGTGCGCACACACTCCCCCACACACCTTCTAGTCTTTCCTTCCATTATTTTGGCCTTCCATTTTCCAACAGATGACAACACCCATCAGAACAGATGGATGTCCATCTGGGTAAACAGAACTGTGGTGATGATGGGAGCTTCTTCGCAGTTTTACAGTTAACTAATCAATGTGTTGGATACTTTACAGAGAATTCTCTCAGTGCATGGCATTGCTCTATAACCTAGCATTATTCTAAAAATGTCAAACTCTAAAATCACAACTCTCCACTCCAGTAGGTGGATACATGTTGAAAGATATTTGCAGCTAATAAACTGGCCTTTGTCCCTACACTATACAACCTAAGCTCCACCCATTCCTCTTTCATTAGGGTGAAATCCACCTTTGTGCAGAGGGCAAGCTCAAGGCCTGTGCATTACTAAGGGCTCAAAATAGACTTAAGCGGCATATAGTGATACATAGGCCTCATATGGTACAGGAATTATTCCTTTGCTATATCTTAGTAAAAAGGGGAGAGGGTAAAGAGTAATTGCACAATTTTTTTTTTAAATGACAGACAAGCCAAAAATCAGAGCACTTCCAATGCAGTGTACTGAAAAAGAAATCTGAAATATGCATACTCACTCTGTGCAGATTTTATTCTGTTTGTAAAACTTATGCCTTGCAGCAAACAGCCGTGAAATATATTTTGCATTTTCAATATCATCCTTTAAAACACAAGAAGAAAAATTGGAAAAGCCATCTGATTATTCACTCTGCTGCTATTACAATGAACTGATTTCAGCAACCGAAAGCGCGTTCTAAAAAATTCAACAGCAATAATGCCTTTTAAGGGATGCCACACACAAAGTCAGCTGCCAAGAACATCTGCAGTGCCCTCAAACCCTGGACCACTGAAACGCATCAGCATGTCTTTACACGCTGCCACTTTGCTGCTAATGACAGTGAAAAAACAAAAAGAATGGTTAGAGCCAGGCTGTGTAATTTACACACTGGCCTGTGTTGGGGGTTATGGGGAGTTGCAGTTTTCTCAGAGCACTGCACAGTCCCTCCTAGAGCTCCAGAGAGCACGTATACAGGCTCCACCATTGCTCAGGCAGCTGCAGCTATGAGAGCATGGTGTGGTGAGGGGCCATGGACATTTCATCCAAAAGGCAGTCATGTCCACAGAGCTCCCAACAGAGTGGATTTCAGGCTGTCTAGAAGGTATTATGTACATTGTAAAGTAAAAAATAAATTGGAGTTCACCCTCCAAATACAAGTGATGGAAATGTTGGAAAGGGTGAGCAGGTGACCAACTGAATTTGTGATTGCCACCCTCCAAATGCAGGGGAGTGAGGTCACAGCTCTATTCAGATATTGGGACTTGAAGTTCAGTCTTTCTGATATACTGAAAAGTTTTTCTGTTGATACTGTTGAGGTACTTTGCTTACTGTGTGAAAGAGCACGGTTTCGTCTTTGTTGATCAACTCCACGATGATTGAAGACTTGTTATGTACTATATTCCCAATATCATTCCACCTGTGGAAAAGAAATGCTGCTGACTTTGCCAAGACACACAGTCAAACATTTCACCAACATGTTAGGAATGTAATAGTTAACGTGCAGGTTCATTTTATGTGAGAAATGCTGTTTGATGAAGAAACACAGCCAGCAAAAAATCACATGCTGTGATTAAAGAAAAAGCCACCCAGAAACACTGCAGAATTTAGAGTAAAACATTTATTCTTCAAAAACAGCAATGTTAAGGGTTACAATAAAAGATATAATTGGAAATATATGAATGCTTAATTGTAAACTGAACTGCATTGTGTCACAATTTAATTACGATTTGACTGTGACTAGCTGGCAGGGAAATATGTACAGTTCTTGTTGGATTTTTTTTTCAAAATTGTTTCCAAATTTCCTAGATTGACGCATAGTCTATACCAGAAAATTAGGTCACTTTAACTACCTTGGTTGGGGCATGAAAAATCCATACCCTGAGCAGTGTAGTTAAACCAACATAAGTCCCTGTGTAGACAGCAAGAGGTTGCCAGAAGAATTTTTCCCATCGACCTAGCTACTGCCTCTCGGGGAGGTGGATTACCTACACTGACAGGAAAATCCCTCCTGTCAGCATAGGTAGGGGTTTACACTAAACCGCTAGAGTTTGTTAATGTGCTTTGATCTAGTCGTTTTTGAAATGAGACTAAAGTGCACTAACGAATTTTTAATGAATATCAGCAGGGCCCACATAGACAGTTAGTTCACAGCAGGCTAGTCCAGGGTACATGCACACACCAGTTTGCCCCAAATTAATTGTTTGTGTAGATAAGCCCTTACCCATTACTGTTTTTATACAAACAAAAGATACCATGTTACTATTTTGTGTTTTATGCTCCTAATTTTTTTTTGCCATGTGTTAACTTATTCTTTCCTCCAGTGACTGTCAGGTTGATTAAGATCAGTTTATTATGACCTTTTTACAACTAGTTGGTGTCATTTATGTCCATCACATGAAAACTTCTGGGATAGAAATGATTTGCTCTTCTGGAAAATGTACTTGGATACATCCTGTCATTACATGCATGGGAATGCATGCTGAAACAGAACAAGCAAGCATTTTCTGAGGACATCTATACCTTTAAAAAAAAATAATCTGAGAGGTGTCTTACTTTTGCAACCTACATTTTCAAGAAATCTTGGGAATGGCACAATTTAAAAGAAATCTACTCTGATTTCTTCATAAATCTACACATTCAAAAATGAAAGATACATGAAAAATGCAAAAAAAGATGGGAATCTTGATGATGTTGGAAAAAATAATCTAAGCCCTTTAAAATAAATGTTAAGGTCTTTGAAAAAAAGCTCCAACCACTGGCTAAAAACTACAGTATGACTCCTTAAAACATCTGTTTTACTATGAGTGCTGTACAAACATTCATACACCAAGAGCACTGGTCAGAAACAAATCTCACAGATTGTGGTTTATCATTCTAAGATAACTATGAAATAAACAAAAATTACCCATGAGACCACAGAAACAATAAAAAAAAGGGGACGGCGGATGAAATCCTGGCTCCACTGAAATCAATGGGAGTTTTGCCGCTGTCTTCAAAGAGGCAACGATTTGACTCGAAGCTTTTTGCTACATTTTTTTTGATAGAGCAATAAAGTTGGGGTTTTTTTGGATAGAATAACAAAAAGATAAACAAAATTTAAACAATTGGAATTAATAAAACAATCCTTTGGCCAGACGCTCAAATTTTGCATTAGCAACACTGGGTAATCCCACAATGAGAAAAACAAGGGCCAAATTTAAATTCAGATATCACTTTACCAGATTCTGATCTCAGAAACTCTTTATCTGAAGGCTGCTGAGTGTCCTATGCCAAATGAGTTAATTTCAGCCTAGTTTCTCATGGATTGTTGTCACATTATTATTTAGATAGCTCCATAAATGAACATAGTGCCACACACATAAAGAAAAGACAATGGTCAAGAATTTAAAAAATGAGCCTAAAATTCAGCTCCTTTATCCCTATAAGTGACCTGATTTTGGGGTGCTGGAACAATTTGCATAGTGGGGGTGCTGAGAGCCATTGAATCAAACTGGAAACCCTGGATATAGTGGAAACCACTGCAAGCCAGAGGGTGCTGCAGCACCCCCACCATCCCTAGTTCCAGACCTATGGAAGCGTACACAGCTAGCAGTCCCCACTGAAGTCTAACGTATTTGCTTTCAGGTGCAAGAAAATAAGTGATTTAAGCATAAACTGACCCTAGAAAGGCAAGAGGAGAAAAGGCATCAAAATCGCATAAGCAATTCAAGTGTACATGATAGCCTTGTCTCTCTAGACATCAACCCCATTCACAGACATCTATCACAGACTATCCTTTACTGCATAGACTTTTATGGCCAAGAGGCCAATCCTGAAAATCCTTACTCATGTCAGTACTCCTTTACTCACAGAAACAGATCCACTGAAGCCACACTTGATGCTGAAGTCATTGGAAAAAAAGCACAGCTTCCTGTAAAAGGAATTCACATTAAAAGCAGATGTCTCTTGATGGTACCTGTATATCACTGCTGGCCTTCCAATTCTATTTTTTATGAAGATTCCCATGAAGAAAATGCCAAGATGCATATCATTTCCATGATTGTCCTGCACAAAAACCACATAAACATTTAGTTAATTAATACAAAAACTGGTTTTACATGAAGAACGCCCATGGAACTACAATAAAATGTTTAAATCAAAATCATCCCCTAAGATGTACAGCACATCAGGCATTCAGAGTCTGTCTGTACATTAACTAACCAAAAACCTCCACAATCTGCAGAGCAATTGCTTCTTATTTACAAGGTATTTACACGGTAATTCAAAATAAATGTCATATGAATATAAGCCATGTGGCTAAAAAGGATTACTGTATGGAGCAATACAAGGGAAATTAGTGTGCTCTAGTGGAATAAACACTAGACAGAGTCTGAAATTCCTGCATTTTAATTCATACTATGTGGATTTGGACCATTCACTTGACCTTTTGGAGCCAGATTTTCAGACTGGTTTTAAATGGGCCTCCATTTTGATAGGTGCAAATACCCGGGGACACAATTTAGGTAGCTTAGATGTCTAAGTATCTGATCTGTGGATGCAATCTGGTACTCATACATTTAAATGATAAATTGCATCCCAAAAGAATTATTCCTGTAATCTGCGGATGCAAAACAGGAGATCTGTATTTGCAACTCTGGTCCTCTGTGACTCAATTTGCCCTTCTCTAAAAGAAATAATACTTACCTACCTTACAGGACTATTTATACAGTGCTTCTAAGATGTAAACCACTGTATAAATACAGCTCTATCCCGATATAACGCGGTCCTCGGGAGCAAAAAAAAAATCTTACCGCGTTATAGGTGAAACTGCGTTATATCGAACTTGCTTTGGCCTCGAGCATTTCCGTTATTAATAGTCAGCAAATCATTTTTGTTAGAACTAACACGGTGTATGCAGTACTCACCCTTGCTCTTTGTCCCCCTCCTTGTCCCCTGACTACTCCCTCGAGAGACCCCGCACCCCTAACCAGCCCTCCCAAGACCCCACTCCCTATCTAAGCCCCCCTGCTCCTTGTCCCCTGACCACCCCCTCCAGAGACCCCCCCCATCCCTAATCACCCACAGGACCCCACCCCCTACCCAACCCCTCTGCCCCTTATCCAACCCCTCGGCCCCGGCCCAGCACCCTTAACATGCTGCTCAGAGCAGCCTATCGGAGCCAGACATGCTGACGCGCTGATCCGCCAGAGCACGCATCCCACCCCCCAGACTGCTGCTTTACCGCGTTCTATCCGAATTCGTGTTATATCGGGTCGCGTTATATTGGGGTAGAGGTGTATCAAGAATTAGTTTTACAATAAGTAATATTACCTTCATTTATTGAAGATAACATGAATTCAGTTCTTTGAAATACAAAGTAACATTTTTGTTTTTCCTATTTTGTACAGAATAGGCACTTTGTGCTTCTTATTTAACATGGTCCAGAATGGCATACAATAGCCAAACAGGGACATCCCATATACAAAACCTGAAAAAATTCACTTGCTAGTGCCAAGAGGAAAGCTTTCCCTGGAGAGGGCTGGTGCTTACGCCATCACATTTCTGAAGATTTTACAAAAATAAATATGTCTATAGCTCTTATGATTGCCAAGAGATAAATCCAACATGAGCCAAATGTGAAGTGATGCAGTGTTGTCTTCCTGAGTCTGTAGGCAGGTAGTCCAAGTGCTTCAGCTGCTGCTTACTGGTTTGCAAAGCTTCAGAACATGAAATTAAGATGACTTTCAGTGCTGGGTGGGCCACAGTGACACCATCACTCTGCTGCTGCTATGGGAGAATTCTATGAGCTGCAGCTGAGGCAGGCATGGCTGAGACACACACAGTATACGGGCCAGAGGGACCAAAACAGATTGAAGGGGAAGGAATAGAGGAGACTCCCTTCTGTTCCCCAGCATCCTCACACCATTCAGGACATGTTGGAAAAGAGATAGAGGGTGGACCTCTCTAACCTATCTCTCTTCACTGACTGCTGTTTTGAGAAGAGAGGGAATCCTGTATCCCTTCCAGCTTCTGGAGAGTGGTGCGCTTCAAATTTATCAGATGCCTACTACCAACAGGGTAATACAAAAAGATGAATACCATTGGCAGTGTCCAAGACAACACCCTGTTCAAAATCCTAGCTACCTTCTCATTCTCAGGCTCTGTGGATGAACACACGTCTAGATTTGTCCCAAAGATTCGCTGGTAGTGTGCCCCACACATGCATTTTGTATTTATTTCTAGCTAGCAAGGGTTAATCCCCCAGTAAGTAGATGTCTGGTACATTTTTCAAGCCCTGTACATGCAGATTCCCAATGCTGCACACACCAGAATTCTTCAAATTATACTCCAAATCTGCTGTGGTTTGGACGTTCTCCGCTTAATCATGGGAAGAGCTAAGCTAAGCAAAGAGATAGTGAAGATTTTATTTTAATTTTTTTTTAAAAGGTGGGGAAGGAAGGAAGAAAGGAAGGAAAAAAGGAATCAGCTCTCAAATGCCCATCTCCAAAAGAGAACTTTCTCCAGGGTCTCTCAATACACTATGTTTGTCCATACATCTATCCTGCCAGCTCTCCTGGGTGGGTGGTGGTTTTTTTCTGCGTCTTGCACTGTATGAGCATGCAATTGGTGCTTCACCCAGCAACCAACAACAACAACAAGGCAGAATGAGAAATTCTGTTAAAGAAACAAGTTGCCACAGTCTAGAGTTTTAATGGGAATTAATCCCAGAACAAAGCTTTCATTTCTTTTAGATGCATAAAGATTTGACATCAGAAGACCACATAATTTCTGCCTTCCAGTGAAAAAGCCATTAACTTCAATGGAGGCCATCACAAGATCCAAAGTACAATCAGCCAGTCTGGTTGGTTTTTTTTTTGTCCCTTCAGGCTAACTTCAGGGTTCTCTTATTTTTTAATCTCAGTAGCAGGAGAGGCAGAAAAACACTTTTACTAGGAAGTGCCTGGGGTCAGGGACAAGGAGAACTGTTGAGCAGTCCAGTATTTCTAACAAATAACCACAGAAGGAGAGTTTGCAATTGCAGAACAGGCTAAAAGTGTTCTTCAATTTTTTAGCCACCCAGTGGACCATAGTGACATGTGCTGTTCAAACTTAACCAGGTTGCAGATGGCAGCGTGGGGCATTAAGACAAGGAAAACTAATTAAAAATTCAAGGGAATGCAACATAAAAAGGACAATAATATATTTAAGAACCCTGAAAAAAAAAACACAACAGTTGTTAGCCTAACGTTACCTTGCTTCTGTTCAGCTGACAGAAGCTAGTACGGTCATACAAACCACATCTAAACATCCTACCTTAGCTAATAAAGTCTCACAACTCTCCCGTGAAGTGAACAAGAGTTGTTATATTCATTTCACAAATGGGGAAACTGAGATACAGCAGTTAAGTGACTTTTAACAACAGTAACTCAGAAAATCAATGGCAGTGCTGGAATAAAATCAGGGCCCTGATTCTCCATTGCTGTGCTCCTGATATAGTCGTTTACCCCTGTGCAAAACGGATCTAAAGCACTACCATTCCAATCTGGCAATGTTTTACACTGACTTTGCACAGGTATATAGGACAACTCAAGGTGCTAGATAGTGAACAACCAGGCCCAAGATGTCCAGATCTTGAATCCTTGCTCTGTTAGAAAACACTTCCTCTCTCTCTCTCTTCTGGAACATGAAAGGGTTCATTCTTCATTTGGATGTACACATATTGCTTACAATAACATGAGTTATACACACACATCACCATATACCCCTCTATTGTCTCTTTTTTTTTTTTTTTTGGATGGGGGTTGTAAGAAGGCTATGTAAATAATAGTAACTAGAGCCCCATACCCTCACAGGGAAGCTTTCCTGTCCAAACCCTTCCAGACGTTCCACTTCACTGATGTACATAAGTTCAGCTTCTGCTGCTGGTACGCCACTACAATTAAAACAACATAAGACAGCAAGAAATTGTTCAGTGTAACAAGTCATATTAAAGGTTCTAGCCAAAAAATGGCAGAGCCAGAATAATCTAGATTGACTCACTTTAGATACTACTGAGATTCTGAAGAAAATGTACAATATAATTAAAAAACAGATCATTACTTATATTATCAAGAGGAGACAGACATTTTAGTTCATTCTCTATATTGTCATTAGTAGGACGTAGAAAGCACAGTCCAAATCTAGAGAGGAGCAACCAATATGACAAAGAGGCACTTTCTACTCCAATGTCTAAAACAGGTTGGCAACCAGGGCTATTTTATATTTGTAAAATTTTGTGAGAAGCTGATTAAACTTTCTGTACAGACTAAATAAAAACCCAACTTAAAGTAGCAGAAGAATAGCCATATGTACCAGTTTCCTACTGCCAGTGAAAACAGAACAGACCTGTATCTTAACATTTTGGGACTCACCTATGAGTTTTATGTTCCTGAGCTACCTTTTGAGTCAGATCTTCCAGGACTGCTTCATCTTGAGTCCAGTCCTATAAGAATACAAACAAGAACACTCTGTTTCTTGAGGGATACTAATCAGGAAAGAAACAAAGCAAAACACAGAACAGACACATTGTGATGGTGTATGTTTTAGGGTTGCCACATGTCTTTAAGCTTGCAGGACAATGAAGATACCTAATACTGATTGCAATGGAAATCTAGATTTGTTTGTTATTACCAAAAATTTTCTGAGGGCAAGGTACCAGAGCTTCAGGGAAAACTTGGCGGGGCGGGGGGGGTGGGGAGATTGGAAATTTTAAGAAGATTGTTAATTCAAAACAAAAAGGGGGCTAGAAATTTCTTCCCAAATACAGAACAGAAAGACCCAACTCTTTTCTTTTAGTAACTGTTTCAAAAAAGGAGGATCAAAAGCTTTGCTCTTCCTTTAAGTGCATAGTAGAGTTTGCCTTGTGTTCTCAACACACAGTTGATGAGGAAATTGTTGTACATTTTGTAAATGTGCTAGTGTGTATATGGGAGGAATAATTCTGAAATCAATTGAGGCAGGACAAAGGAAGTTTGGTCATAAAATCAAAGCCAAAAAAAAAAAAAAAAAAGAAAGGAAAATTAAAAAGTTACCTAGCAAAACCTCAAAGTGATTATATTCATATAAAAAAATACACCTCAAGGCTGTGTGTATTGTATGTGGCTAAACTGCCTGTTTCTTGCTCAATGGAGCCTCCCTGCAATATTTGTTTCTGCCACAGAAAAATGTCAAAGTGGTATCACGCTAATGAAAAATGACATGGTACGTGCCTGTACACAGCTACACACCTGTGGGGTGTTCTATGTACATATCTTTGTTCTTTTCACTGAAGAAATGCCATTTGACACATAATGTAGCCTCACAAGATCAAACAGTCCAAATGCAGCTGCCCCTCCCCCATTCACCAGCACACTGCAATAATGTATTTTTCAGCAAATCAATGTTCCACTTTGAGACCTCATCTACTCCTAAGAGCTGCACAAATCTCCTCACCGCTGCTCTAGCACTGGGGCAGTCTACAACAGTTGGCAGCGGTTACAGCGCTAGTATAGGGGTGGTTTACCTTTATGTTACCTAACCCTGCCCGGGGAAAGGACGCAGTAGAATAGGTGACTCAATGCTGGAGGACAACATGCTCCAAGGGCTAACTGCTTCGGCTGGAAGTGGCAGCAACAATACCCCTCTTCAGCCGTTGGAGGATGTCTATGCTTGTGCAGCACCTAGAACAGTGGGGCCCTGGCCCATGACTAGGCTCCTAGGCACTATGGTAATACAACTAACACATAATAATACAATAGTAGTATTAGCAACATAAAAGGTAGGTAAGAGACAGCGTGATGGCATGTGCAAAGCAGAAGTCAAACAACCTAGTCTAAACAACAACAGAGGGCAGGAATGGAAAAAGAAGGTATCAATCCAGAACACTGGATTCAAACTCCCTCAAACTAGGGAGAAGTTCATCCAAACTTTGAGACCCATCTTTATTTTTTCTATTGACAGAAAACTAATTGCAGTGTATTGAAAAAGCTCAGTAGGAGTGCAGTCTTTTGAAATGTGGGCACACAGTGGTAGATGCACTGCACATCTCTCTGTCCACAGTGCAGCCATAATCTTGCCCCAGGCTGTTACCCACAATATGATAAAAAATACCCCTCATGGAGTAACACCAAAATAGCTAGTAATAAATGAGAAAAAAAAGGCCTCATGAAAACAAGAATTCTGCTAGTCACTCTACATACGTTGCTCAGTGGAAGTTAAACGCCATCTGCCACGGCATACACAACATATGGCTTCTTACACTTACGTAGGCTCGTTATTTTCCCCCTCCACTTGCAGTTTTCTCTCAGATACTTCTGAATTCCCAGCACACAATGACTGACATTCAATTGCCATTTCTCAGCCACTCTTGCTGTCTGATGAAAACACCTATAGCTTTACAATCCCTACACATTTAATTTCAACTCAGAAAGAACGTCAAGAACAGAGCCTGATCGTTGAAATTTTATGAAGGTTGAGCTCGTTAAAGTTATTCATTCTCCCATCAATTGCTCATTGCTATGGTGTCAAAGTAGCTGGTATCTTACCTCATTCTGTCTTATGGCAGCAATTTTACATTTCTCTGCAGAATTTATCAATGGACATAAAATAGTTCATTAAATATCTGAAAGATTCGATAGTTTCGATTTAGATTTTAATAACTTTTACTGCACACTTACTGTGAGCCAAACCCTGAAGTCCTGATTCACCTATTATTCAGGCAAGAGGCTGATCCATATTGGTGGGAATTTTTCTTTAGTAAGGACTGCATGATTTGCTCTGTAAGTCTGCATTTGTTATATGAGCCAGTCCTCACATCCCATTATTATTTACTGTTTTTATTGCAATACTGCCCACAGACTCCCATCAGGAATATGTTAAATGCTGTATAACTTTATACTTTGTTCAAGTAAATATATTTCTTCTACTGAAATCTGTTCCTAGGGGAGAAATAAGCATGAATAGAGCTCACAAAGGGTTAAATTTATGCTTCATGTAGTTGGTAATGGTAAATGTAGTTGTTTAGCTAAAACCATATGAAACACAATCTCTTTGGAGGCAAAGCTTACTTTAGTCATTTAAAAATTTAGCACTAGCTCTTTTCATTGAACTATCAACACCACCACCTCTGAGGGATGGAGGAATTACTCATAGGAGACCATGAAATAAAGAGGGGAAAAAAGTAACTCACCATAGGAAACAGAACATATTCTCGGAGGAAATCATGAGATTCAAACTGATTATAGTCACCAAAATCCGCTGGAAAAAACAACATCACATTTACTCATATTACATAGCACTTTTCATGGATACTAAAGCCTCAATCCTGTGAACGTTTGACTCACATGCTTAACTTTTAAGTGTGTGAGTTCTCCCATGGAAACCAAAGTGTTTGTAGGATTGAGGCCTTGAACACCAGTTTAAAAAACTATCTTTTTTTTTTTTTTTTTTTTTTTTTTAATGTCCATACCTGAGTTAATGGTGTCACTAAAGACCAGTTAAAGACTGATCTGGGCACAATTACACAAGGATCCTCTCCTTTTTTTCAGTGCCCCACTCCTTGGAGCATGGGGATTGCTACTCCATACTGATGCCTCATTGGCTGCTGCCATCCCAAAAGAGATGGGGTGGCTTCTGGTAGGCATTTGCTCCTCATAGCTTCCATCCTCCCCTAACACATAGTACAGTTTGGCCCTGAACATTTCATTCAACCTTTGCTAAAACACCACAAAGACCTATGTGAAAGGTGCTAGATTTAACATCCCAGGAGGCTGAAATCCCTTGAAAATTAACAATATCAATGCAGAGCTTTAAGTAAACTTGGATTTTCCTTCTCATCCCAGACTGATATATACCAGGCTAGCCAAAAGTTCCTGCCATGGGCGCTAGTTTAATACTTTATTCCCTCATCCTGGCAATTCCCTCTCATTTGCCCCCCATTCTCTCTATCCATTAAGGAGCGGATACAATCTTGGCACTCACAGCACTGCTCTTAGTCACCCACATGCAACACCCAAAGGATTATTATGATTTAAATGTTCTTAAAATAGTGCAGTTTTGAAAGTGCTTCCTAAAAATTAAAATGCTTCTTCTGAAATATGCACACACAAAAACCCCAAACAAAAACCACCCCGCACCCCAAAAAAGCCACGTCTAGATTTATCTATTTGCTAAATACACAACAGCTTATAACTAAAGAATGAACTTGCTGAAAAGTTATTTTATTTTAACTGAACCAGATCAAACCTCATCTACAATATACTAGTATTTAGGAGTTGGAAATCCCCACCATAAATCACAGTAGCCAAACATTCTTGCTAAGCTTCTAGACAATTTCACATAGTACAGGATGCCAAAAATGCTGTTTCGTTTTGTTTCACCTCAGAGTTATGTTTTAAAATACACAGGGAATCAAAATGGACATAAAACACAAAGTACGCAATTAAAAATAATTGAATATATTCCAAGTCTCTTTACAGGATCATGTGCAAAAGATAAAAGACAGCAACACAATGTCATGAGTAAGCAACAAAAATGGAAGTGTCAGATGCAGCTATCTATCATGATAACAGATTATGCAGAAAATTCACAACAAAAGAAGTGATTATTACTCAAACCACTTACAGAGACAGGAGAACAGACAAGTATATGGTAAGCCACTGGAAAGGTCCCAAACTGAGACAGTGTAATCCAATTTGGTGTCTGTCCATCACCAATTCTTGGCCTTGTACTTTAGGAAAACCTCATTAAACCATACCGAAAAGTTCAAGGTGGACATATCTTTTCAATTATACTAAAAGATTTCAGGGCAATGGTCAGAAGAAAACATTAGGATTTCTTTTTTCCTTCTGTTTTTGAACACCCAATAGGACATTAAAATGGTATTTCTACCAGCGCTGGCAAAGATCATATTAACTTACTGAATACTACTACTCTTCACCCATTCAACAGCTTTCATCCTGGGCACTCAAAGTGCTCTAAACAGGTGGATATTAGTATTCCTAAACTGAAACAAAGAGTAAGTTAATGATCTGGCTTTCAAGGTGGTGAGCATCCACAGATCTCACCAATGTCAGTAGGGATGGAAGATGCTCAGCAGATCTGAAAATCAATCCACAAGAGACTTGCAAAGGCCTTTGAGCCAGTCAGTGGCTGTCAGAGGTAGCACACAAGTTCTCTACTGCTAGATCCTTGTTCTAACCACTAGACCACACAGAAATGGAAGTGCCAGAAGGTCACAAATTAAGCTCTAGAAAATTTCATTTCAGCAACAGAATGCTCTACAGATAAGCAGAGACAGGATGGTCATATGTTCAAATAGGTTTCAAAAATGTCTAGGGACCTGTTGTACCACAAAAATCTTTTAATTTTTGAGAAGCCAGTAACCGTGTTATTATTTTAATAATATTAGCTATTATTTGTATGTACAATTACCTGATTTGAACATTTACATTTGTATTCTTTTCAGCAGGCACATCTGTTGCATCAAGTTTTGAAATTCTGCCTATTAAAGTCTGAGAGATGATATAACTTAATACACATTTATTTTTCTATATTATAGGTATACTTTTTATCTCTCTCCTTACTAGGCTAAGAGTAAAATCACAATAATAAACAGCTGTAATAACCACTATTACATACTCTATAGTACTTCTCATAGGAAGTGCCCGCTATAGCAAAGTGAATTTTTAATTAAAGGCAAAATTAAACTCAGGTTGAAAATGGAATTACACTGAAAACAAAGTTTGAAAAACAGTCAGCTCTCATCATTTTACAAAGTAGTCCACTATTATTAGAAGAAGAATCTAGATTTGTTTGTTGTTAATTCAGAAAACCCAATGTTGGAGCTGAACAGTGCTTATATAGTACCTATGATCCCAGTCCATGATTCTACACCTGAAAGTAGAAGTAATTCATCAAAAGCCCAATCCTAGTTCTGCTGAAATCAGTGGAAAGACTAATGATCCTTAACATGAATTGGGCTGGGCCTAATTAGTGTCAAATGAACACTTGGAATTAACTATAGAGGGCAATGTTGGAAGAGGACTAGCAGGTAATTTAACTTTACCTTGCACAGCTAAGCCAGCCAGCCGGATCCCCTGATCCAACGAAGAACGCAATCGACCATCAAGAACATCTTTTTTCACTTGTAGGTAATACTGATACCTGTGAATAAGTGAAACAAAACAAGACCCAAAGTTTATATACTTGGATATTTTCTACAGAACAAAGATTGCTGAAGACAGAACATTTTTAAGCAAAGGTTGTGTACTTAAATTGTACTGTGTACGTTGCAGATGCCACACATAGAATCCTAATTATAGCACTTTAAATATATAGACTAAAATCACCAGTGTGATCCCTATCAGGACCATTGTTCCCAACTGTACAAGAGAGAGAAATCAGAATTCCATTGTGTGCTTATTGGACCACACCACAAGAGTGACAGCTTCTGGAATTGCATCCACCCATAAATTCTGTAGGTGCAACTGAGGAACGTACATCCTTGTATGCAGTGTTGTTGTAGCCATGTTGGTCCCAGGATATTAGAGAGACAAGGTGGTTGAGGTAATGTCTTTTATTCGACCAACTTCTGTTGGTGACAGAGAGAACCTTTCTGAAGAAGAAAAGGAGTACTTGTGGCACCTTAGAGACTAACCAATTTATTTGAGCATGAGCTTTCGTGAGCTCATGCTCAAATAAATTGGTTAGTCTCTAAGGTGCCACAAGTACTCCTTTTCTTTTTGCGAATACAGACTAACACGGCTGTTCCTCTGAAACCTTTCTGAAGAAGAGCTCTGTGTAAGCTCGAAAGCTTGTCTCTTGGAACATACATCATGATATTCCCAGATCACATGCAACAGAATGAAATTAGTCTGGGAGGAAGGCACAGACAGAATATGGAGGATAACAGGAAATGGAATTAGGCTTGGTCTAAATTTGTACAACTGTTTCTGTTACAGGTTTGATTTTTACCAAGATAGTTAAAATGTGTACAATCCTTCTAGTGTGCCTTATAGTGGTATAGCTTATTCCCCCTTCCTGTATGTACAAGAACAGTTATGCTGGTATAACTGCATCCACACTAGGAGAATTGTACTGCTTTTACTATACAAAGTTAAAGCAGTAATCTGTTTGTGCAGACAAGTCCTAACAGTATTAGAAAAGATCCTTGTTCAAACTGTAAGAGCAAGTAGCTCAAAGTGCCATCTGACATTTCTGTATGCTGCATTAATCTAATAAAACCTTTCACATTCTTCTAGAGTGAACTCCTAAATCAGAACAAATGAGATTCAGGATCTTGCCACTAGACAGCACCAAAGTTCTGATGAGACCTGCATTCTCAGGATTACAGCAAGAGTAGCAATACTATAATTTGATCAAGGCAGCATTTTCAGTGTAAAGCCCATTTTCATTTCCTTAAATTAGAGAAATTCCCCTTCGAGCTGAAATTTTTCAAGTTTACTTAAAGCCCAAAAGTTGAATTTTAGGTGAAGTAGGTGAAGAAAACCTTTGCAGATAATTTTGGGTTACTAGACTTAAAAAAATAAATCAAATCAAAGCTAAATTTTCTTCACACATTTTCTTGTGCTCTGGTAACTCACAACCAGTTTCATTTTATAAATTTTGATTTGGCATGCACATAAAGACTGAAGAAAATTGAAAGACTCCCATTAATTTCAGAGTGCTCTGAACAATCTGATTGTGAGAAAGGAAAGCTTGAGCCAATAAGAATAGCACACAGCCTCTCTGCTTGGCCTTTCTACCTCCAATCTCAAATTTCACAACTCTGGGATTGTGTGGCCTGGAATTCAGTTTACTGTGCAAAACATAGATAATCTGAAATTGCAAAAAAATGGCACCAGAGGCAGGCAGAAAGACTGCCAGACTTGCCTTTGACATCACCTTAAATGGAGGTAGGGGGACACTACACTTATAATTTCACAATCTGCACACTAAATGACTTGTAGTCCATGGGAGTTTTGCCACTGAGTTCAGTGGGGCCAGGATTTCAACCACAGTTCCTGCAAAAACTAGAGACAAGCCACACTGCAGAATACACAAACAGCAGAAAATATACGATGATACCACAGTACCTGCATCAGACGTCATGACAAGATTTTGAAAAGTAACTAGTGATTTTGGGTGCCTCAAAATTCAAGACCAGTGGTCCCCAAACTTTTCACTGTCATGCCCCCCCCCCGCCCCTCTCTGTGCCCCCTGGTCCCCAGAGTCAGGGCCAGGAGCAGAGTTGCGGCTCCAGCGGGGGGAGGGGGGGGGGGGAGTCATGGACAGGGGTAAGAGGGCCGAGGCTGGGGCCACAACTAGGGTTGGGGCTGGAGCCGGGAATGGAGCTGCAGCCAGAGGCCGGGGCCAGGGTCATGGCCAGGCCATGGTTGGGGGCTGAGGCTGGTCCAGAGCAGAGATGGGAGTGGAGTGGGGCTGGGTGGTGTTCCCTCCGTGCCCCCTGTGGGGGCTGGCCCAGGCCCTGCCGTGCCCCCCTGAACATTCCTCCACAACCCCCTAGGGGGCACACCCCACAGTTTGGGGACCTCTGTTCTACGTGTTTAACTTGCAACACCTTTAGAAGGCTTGATTTTAGGAAAGTTCTTAGCACCCACCTTTGTGATAACCAGGTTCCTTTATAGTATCTCACACTGAACACCCAAAAACAGGGACACCCACAAGCACAAGTCACTTTTTAAAATCTTGACCTGAATGTTTTTTACAGCACCTGTATAAGGCACTGTGTTGTGCGGTGTTGAATTGTATTAAATGGATAGCATATATTAAACCTGACTGGCTGCTGCTGGGTCTGGAGATTGGTTATTAGTTTATTTTCTAATATTTGCCAATGTTCCCGATATATAAGCACCCATGATAAAAAGAAAAAAATCCAAATAAATAAATAAATAAAGCAGTAGAAATGTAACACCTACCAACCTTATTGAAAATACATACTGTTAACTCAGTATTTATTAGAGTATTCCCTTGTACTTCCCCATATTTGCTGTAGGAAATACTACAGATATGGAAGTTAGCTAACTGCAATCCTTAGTTGGGGGGCATGGATCAGTGTTCACGTCATGCTGCCCCCATCAGTACCCAGGCTGGGCCGGGCAAGCTAATGATCCAACCAGCGACCAAATTTGGTGATGAATCCTGATCATGTGCCACTTGAGGCACATTGGGTACATGCTAAGAATCCTTATTTAGGCTCTGCTCCAAAGCCCATTGAAGTCAATGGAAGGTGGACTTTAGATCACACCCTTGGCTATCTAACGTATCTGTCAAGTTTTTAAGTACTGTCACTTTATAGTACTCTTGCACAAAGAGTTAAGTCATAGCTGCTTATGTTATTTCTACTAGGTGGTCACCATTTTCTTTATAAACCCTTATTTTCAGAATTTATAACTTGATCATAAACGTATGCTGTGGGCTGAGATTTTGGCATGCAAGGGCTCAACCTGGAACAAATTATTTGTTTATATTTACAAAACAAAAGGTCTGCTTGGACAATTTTCAGCCAATCATTTTTTTCTTTAAAAAAGGAAATTAACTGGCTCAGGATGGGTACAATTCCAAATATAGGCACTGACTCCATGGGTGCTCCGGGGCTGGAGCACCCATTGGGAAAAATTAGCAGGTGCTCCTCACCCACCAGCAGCCAAGCTCCCCCCTCCTCGCCTCCCCATCCCCGAGCGCGCCACGTCCCCACTCCTCCTTCTCCCTCCCACCCTCCTCCTAACAGCTATTTGGCGGCGCTTAGGACTTTCTGGGAGATAGTGGGGAGAAGCGGGGACGCAGCACGCTCAGGGGAGGAAGAGGTGAAGAAGAGGCAGGGCAGGGGTGGGGACTTGGGGGTGGAATGGGGGCAGGGACTTTGGGGAAGGGGAAGAAGGGGGGTGGGGCGAGGGCGGTGCAGGGTCGAGCACCCACCAGCCAGAGGGGAATTTGGTACCTATGATTCAAAAGCCACTTTGTTAATTTTAAAAAACAATTGTGGCATCCCCACTCTTTGATCTATTTTAAAGGAATATGAACAGCTAAGTTTAGGCCCAAAATTCCAGTCTTAGCTTTGGTTGGTGGTTGTTTTTTATTTTTAAAGGGGGTTGATTGTTGGGGGTGGCTATCAAAAGCTACCATGAAAAAAAAATGGCTATCTGAAATTAGCAAAAAGTTATAAACACAGCATTTTCTTTTTGGGTGGAAAACATTTGCTTGCAGGAGAATAATATGGATGCACAACCCCTCCAAGGGTACAGTAGAAAAATGTAGCCCTGACAGGAGCAGAGTAAAATCTAGAAGCCTGCTACAGTTGGGAGAAGCTTGTTGAGATTGAGAGATAATAAGGGGCTCTGACATCACCTTTGCCATGGGAATCATGGGAGCTCTTTGGACAAATGTTGGGACTGTTGCTGGGTGCCGACTCTGGTTCTATTCCAAGATAGGGGATGGTCATACTCCAACATGCAGAGTCCCTGGGAAATCACCAATTCCCTGACATCACACTAGATCATATGTGTTGTGAGGAAGAAGTCTTGGGCTCCACTTTCTAGGAAGGGGTGGAATAGAGGAGAGACTCCACTACCGCTCCATAGGTACAAAGCTCATCCATGCTGCAAGGCCATGGTCTGGCTCTGTGCCCGTTCTGCAGGTGAGTCAGGCTATGGCCCATAAGCTGTGAAATCCTTAGGGCTCCTTCATATGAAATTATATTAATTAAACCTTATGTCACTAGCCAAGATTATGTGTTTTTTGTTTTAACAGAAATTAAATATTCACTTAGAATCCTAGGTGAATAAAATATTTTTTTTAAATTGCCTAAATAAATATTCACTTCAGAGAAACTGTCTCAGAAAAGTAGATAAAAATACGTATTTTATGAACTTTCAACGTTTTATATGTTGGAGAAATAAGCAAATATAATAGACAAAAACATGTTTGCTCATTGCTACAAACTGTTACACAAGATGGCAGAAATCAAGAAGTTCACAGTTATGAAGCCCTGGTTCAGAGTTATGGGGAAAGGGGAGAGAATTAAAATATGAGTTGAGAACTGAGCTTCAATCTTCTTTGCTAATTTTGGGTTAACTTTTGAGCATAGTTTTTAAAGTTTAATAAAGTCTACCGCTGTATGCCAGCCTGTAGTTAATTCCAAGGGG